CAGTTCCTGGCCACAGGACACTGTTGGCTGGATATTTTTGGTGTGGTGGACTATTGTCAGACAAGCAGGGCTGTGTCTCATCTATTGGTATCAACACAAAACCTACTAACATGCCAGTACTATGTCAGTGTCACTGCAGTGTTAAGAATGATCCAGTGGTAGTCCTGTGAGGGTCCTGGTCATTGACAACAAGTTATGCAGAGAAACAGGTGGACTACAATCTGTAATTGTAGAAATACAGTTCACCCAGTGGACAGTAAGGTAGATGTACCTACCTTACACCTAAATAAGTGTCCAGTTAGTGTAGGTTTGGCTTAGAAAGACTTAAGGCTATGTAGAAAATAGTCTGACCCCACCACAAAGCATAGTGGCAAAGTGTTTCTGGTCATATAATATGATTTAATGTAAGAACCAGCGCTCTTTGCAATTAAGAATAAAGACATCTTTTCATAGAAATCTGTGCTAATTTTTCTCAAGGTTTCCATTAATTCTAAAGAGCAACATGATGAAAATCTGCTTATCAACATCACCCACTTCATGACAGTTTGTCATAACTTTTAAATTAGCTGAATGTGACTCATCCTGCTTTATTGCAACATTTCCCATAAATGTAATTACATTTTTTGTATAGAGGTCATGATGGTAATTTGATGATGCCAGATGCAAGACATTTTTTGTATCAACCACATTAATTATTAATTTATTTTGGACCCTCTTTCATTAAGACCTTATAAAAAGACACATACAATTGATGCAAAGTTATACATATACTCTGCAGACACAGAAGATGTCCCACTTCCTTATTTCACAGTGACATGTGTTGACAAGCTGGATTGCACCCATACTGTGCAGCAACATTCTTGGAGCTTTAGGCTCTTCTGTTGTCCTTAAGGGATGGTGAGAGCAGTGACTAAGCCCCTTGGACTATTCTGGCTAACATCACTGTAGCATGAATTGTTATAGCACGTTCCTTAGACTAGCAGCCCTGCTCACAAGCTGCCCCTGCTCCCACTGTGACTACTAGTTTCTATTTTCTGGCTCTTGTGTGCTAACTCAAAAACTAACTGCTAACCTTTGGCCCTAGTGGCAGATACAAATTCTAGCTGCATCTTGCTAAGCTATAGTGAGCTTAGTTTTCCACATTCAACACATGCCAGTGCAAATTATACCTGCTGCAGAACCCTAGGCCAGCCACAAGCTCCACCCTTCAAGCCTCAGCTTAATTCAGCTTACCCCACTTTAGGTTATAGCATGATGTTGATGTCCCAAAGGCAGGAACACCTCTGGTCTAGAGCCAAGCTCTGACGCTAACCTTATGGACAAAAAGAAAAACAGTACAGAGAGCCTACAAAAATAAAAGTCTTCCAACCTGCATAAGTGCCCAGAGACTCCATCACTCAAATATGTCCTCGAAGTAACATAGCTAATCAGGTTAATTCTTTTCAATTCTTTAGCAAAGAGCATGAATCTTGTTTCACTTCCCATCTCCTTTTCTTGAAAGTGCCTTTTGGTTTGCTATAAAGAAATGGCATCCCTTAAGAAAGAAAGACTGAAACCACAGCAGTGGCTATATGAATCTAGGTGAAATGTACCAGCAAGTGACAAATTAAAGGAAAAACAGCATAAATTATCTTAGCCACCATAAACCACTACAAAAACTTCAATTCACATTGGAATAGATTCTACAAGTCTCTGGAACTGTATGGATGGGACATTATTCTACCAAAAGAAATTCCATTCATTGGTGTTGCAGTGGTGGAAAGCATGGCTTGGTGGTTGAGATCTGGTGACTGACAAAGCCATAGAATATGATTTACACCATGTCCATGAACATTAAACTATTTAGTGACCCCTCATGTCCTGTGGATGGGGGGCATTGTCATCCTGGAAGAGACCACTCCCAAGATGGGTGGCTAAAGGTCATCAGTCAGAATAACTTTGTATTTATTGCAGTGACCCTTACCTGTAAGGGGACAAGCGGACTCAAACCATGCTTAGAAAATGTGCCACAGAGCATACCAGAGCCACTGAACCCCCTTGCTGCAGGGGTCAAGTATTCAGGCCTATATAGTTCTCTCAGTGTATGCCATACATGCACTTGCCCACTTTTCCAGAATATGGTGAAGGATGACTCGTCTGATCATATCACCCTTTTTCCACTTCTCAGTGTATCACTGAACTGTCAAATGTGCATTCATCTTTGTAATGAGGGCTTTATGCACTGCAGAACTACTGTAATATCCCTCTCAATGGAGTTGACAGACTGTTCCTGCTGATCACATCCTGCATTGACATTCTCAGCCAAACAAGCAACAGCTGCTTTTTTGTTTTTCCTTACATATCACACCACCTCGTAGTGCAGGTGAATGTGTGCTTTCAACCACTTTTAACAATTTACTGAAGTCCCATTTAAATGCAGATGTCACTGTAGTCACTGTTCATATTGTAACACTAGCCAACATTCTGTATGACTGAAGCTGCTGCCACACATGCCTCAAAAGTGGACCCTCTTTCAGAGTCATTTAGATATTTTCCTCTTGCAATCTTGATCCAAAATTGAGGTCAACTGGACCTGCTGTATGTATAATATATAATTGCTTAATTGTACCATGTAGTCAGAGGTGGAAGACAATGAATTACATTTACTCTCACTGCAGTATTGGAGTATTTTTCAAAGTACTTTTTTGAGTAGAATTAAATCATAGTACTTTAATTGCTGTATAATAAAATACTTTTACTTTACTGTTTCAATTTTTATTAACTGTCATGTTCAGCTTGTAAACCAATTAGAAGAAATCCTGGTTAAATTTAAAAGACTGAGTTCCGAAAGCCAGTCAAAGCACAGCAGTGCCCAGCTCCAGAAATGTTACAGTTCAGTCCTGATGTGTTCAGAGTCATCAAGTTTGGTGAAGTCAGAGTGAGGATAGCATTCGCAGCACATGCAGCAAACACACATTGCCCAATTTGCCCAATTTGTAATCTCCTTTTGTTTTCTAAAGAATTAAAAAGGCATTACTTCATGTCCAAGCTGGGGTGCCAGCTGTTGTACCCACACCTGGATCATTTTCATGATCGTGCTGCTGATGGATTGTGAGCCAACGTTTCATATTCATTTATGCTTGTTGCTGGAAAATGTTTTCTGACTTGGGTACAGATGATCAGCACAACTTCTTGTAGTGTTCAGTCTTTGAGTTTCACATGCCTGCTATTTATGTTTACCACAAGCTTGTTATCTTGCTATGCATGTGTGCATATAAGTTGGTCACTGTCTTTCTCTGTCCTCTGAGGGGCTTGTACTTGGTATTACACCACCTTCTGAGCCATTCTGTCCTCAGCAGGCTTCAAAAGGATTTCATTGAAGACCACCTTTCTGTTGTTTACCTGAACTGCATATGTTGAAAAGTTGCATACTCTGCCTTTGAGACTGATATATATCTACTAGAGTCTGGATGGCCAAATCTGGCATTTTTGCTGTCAAATTTTGCATGCATTTTTAGTGGGGTGCAGCAAATAAATATGCAAGGGATTTTGCGATAGCAGAAAGAGCTGCACCAGAGGAGTGTTGAAAAAAGTTGAGCTGGTTTCAATTTTACGCAAATTGAATTGGAAAAAATTGGTAGACGTTCAGCGCTCACCAGTTAGGAAAAGGCTACTTGTAAATATCTGTATGTAATGAATTTAGGCTTATTTGCATCTTGACATTAAGCCTAGACTAAAAAATAATTTCTAATGGTGACTCATCATTGGAGTCGCAGTTTAGTCCAAGAGTAGACTTAATCCATGTCTGGGAAACCAGTTCTAAAAGTATTAATATTGCCAAAGTAATGCCCTATTCTCTAGGTTCTTTCTTTCAATATACAGTGTTTTAATCTCATTATTCTCCATATTTAGAGGTGAGCATAGTTTAACTAGCGTAGTTTAAAAAAATTTAAGTGGGAGTGCATCACTGGATTAATTAGAAAAAATTAATTAAAAATAATTTAGTTTTACCTTAGGCTATCATATTTCACAGTAATTAATTCAAGATGCTTGCTTTTAAATAGAATAAAAACACAAGAGAACCTAAAGTATTTTAGATTCATAATTTCTTAATTGACAGAGCTATTCACACTGCATGCAGTGGGCACATATTATAAGGTTATTCCTGAATACATAAATTAGAGTACGGAATTTGCTTCCTTTACAGACAAGCAGACGTGCAAGGTTTCTCTTTATGCCAGCCTGGTCTTTGAGGCATTATGTGGACCATTAACATTCATCAGACAAATCATTGATTTGCTTCAGTGACAGGAATAAAGGCACTCATCAGTTGAAACTGAGGCTTTAACACAGGCTGGTAGAGGTAATGTCTATAGCCTACGAGTTCATTCAACAGCAAAATCCAGGGTCAGTGTCTTTTTACTCTACCTGGAAAACCCATTTTAGCCATATGTGTATTCAATTCCATTAATATTAGCAGCTCAAGAGGTAAGATGTTTTCATGCTAGACACTTTGGTCTTAAAGTGTGTCAGCCAATTGCAAACTTCATAAGGAGAGGGCAAGTTTATTCCATTCTGTCTGCTTGTATGCACTGTGTATGAAGCAGGAAATCTACATTTGACAGTTGGTCAGTTATTGACAAAAATGTCTACAAATTGCCGCAAAAATGCACCAAACATAAACTGTGCATTCAGCACCAGTGAGCCAGACATCAACTGTAGTAGCCTGTAGTAACTCAAACAAAAGAGTTAAAAAGGAGTAAATGGCATTGATAAGGTTGTGTGAATCGTTGTTGCTTGTGTGGACAAGAGAAACTCCTACCTTTGCCAGAAATGTTCATCCAGCAATATTACAGGTTTCATGTGTGAAAGTACCAAACATAATGCTTTTCTTCATTTCATTTTTATCAATCTCATTGTGGCTATGATTGATATAATGGAATAATAAAGCACCTCAATTTTAGGTGTGATTCGAGCAGATTCTTGGAAACATGTTGTTAAGTATCCCTCTTAATTCACAGGAGCATCTTCAATAACCCAACTCATTTCCGGAGCCATCTTCAGCAGGCCATGGCATATCGATTGCTCGGCAACCCCTGTAGGGCAGCTAGGTAAGAATTAGCATTAAAATAAGGCTGGGGAGGGGATTTCTCCCTCCCAGTGACAAAGGAAAAAAAAGCTTCCAGTAAGTTAGCAACAGCCCAAGAACACATGTCTGCTCAGCGTGTTGTCAGATTTGTCTATATCCTGTCAGGCTATTCTGGAAAAAATATGTTCCTGCTAATACATAAATAGTTCAGTGGAGTATGAATAGGGAGACAAAACAATTATGTTAGAATTACATTCATTCCTGCTGCCAAAGTCAAGATACTTCAAGCACTAAAAGTACTGTTTAGGTACCATTTGCATTCTAATGATTTGATTATCAGCTGTGTATGTGGACACCTCCAGCGCCTCACGACAGGTACCCATTCATTACTAAATGAAGAAGTAAATCGTTTAAAGCCATCAGCTGCATCAAACACCAGAGTGCCATTTATGTTGAGTGTGTCATATTATGTTTTATCATTATTGAGCCATGGAAACCCAGCTGGAATAGATTAGGACAGGCACCAGGTTACTATAGGGCCTCTCTCTCTTTTTTTTTCTCTCTTTTGCTCACACCCCCATTTCCCGTTTGAATTTCTGCAGGCAGAAATAGATCGACTCTGCCTCTCTGCCTACAAATTTAGTGTTACTATCCCAGTGGGGAAAAGGCTGTTTTGCCGGAACATTGCAGAAGTGCATTTGGAAGATGTACTTGGTACATCACACCGGCCTCCTCTGACTATGCTTCCTTTAATTCCAGTGCTCTGCAGTAGGCGATGGCGGTTATGTGTGGATGTTTCTTCTGTTGTGGGCTGCAATCATACTAGATTAGGGGACTGAGGGACGTTGGCTGGCAAGGAAGAATGCATGATAATGCATTTCAAAGAACTGAGCTCTTCCATCAAAGCCTGAAGCCAGTCATATCCCCCCAGGCATATGCTTCCCAGTCATTTCAGGTCTGAAGTAAATTTCCTTATCTTCAAATTTACCAGCAATGATTCGAACTTACAGTCAGTGCAATCACACAGAAATATTCTTCAACGATGAATCTAAATGCAAAACCCAAGCCTCCACATTCAGTTTTATATTTATATGATTCATATTCATGTGACTTTTTGCCCCATTTGGAAAAGGTTGATGATATCATTCTCCGAACATTTATTAAGACATCTTATTGAGTCAAACCCTCTGTTGTAGGTCAGTATTATATCAGTAGAAAGAGTCCAGGTTTTTGACAAACGTTAGAAAATCCCAGAGCCAGAAAAAACTGTAATTGTTATAAAAAAAAAACTGGGCTACTAGGACAGCTTCCTAGCTGTGTATTTTCTTCAATGAAAGTGTAGGAGAAGTAGTACAATGGTCTTGACAAGTTCATTCTGTCATTAGTTATTGAATAATGACTAAATCCAGGACAATTTTACTGTGGAATTGAGCAATACAAGTCTGACTACTTGCACATTCCAATGTAGTGCCATTCTCAGTGAGCTATGGATGCAACTGTACAAACATCATATGTAGTGCAGCAAAACAAACATTCTGGAATTGGTTCAGCAGAGAATATGTTGCTATAAATATTTGCGTTTGTCAAAGGTGCAAATATAGTGCAGTTGCAGGCCTGTGGTCCAAGAACACTTAGTTCTGGCTTATTTGGTGCTGAGTTATGACAGTAGAAATGAAATCGTGACCTAGCTGCTTCACCTCTTATTTGAGGGGTTGAAAATAGTACAGTTAATAACTTTGTATTCAGTGTAGACACACATATATCCCATATCCCATAACATCCTAGGCAGCAAAGAATGAGTGACATATCAAGATATTGAGCTCAAAAAGGGAAATTATTAGTTGAAGCAATATTATTTTATATGAGCTGGGGCAATTGATTTCAAATGGAAATTAAATTAATGGGCCAACCTTTGCTCATGACCTAGATGCCTCTTCAAAATGTGCTATTCCATTGTGGGACCATTAGAGTGGTTCCTACAGGAGTTATTTCTAAAACTGTGAACTCTGGACCCTGGGAAATGCCCCCCAGCCCCTGACAAAAACAAAAACTGAAGAATTTTAGCAGCTAAAAGCATCAGCCTGATGCACTTTGAGGTGGAAATGGAAAGACAAGAACATGCTTTGTTTAGTGATTAACTAAGCACAATTATAATACTGTACATTGTTTGCTCTAAAAAGTCTTCCTACTATTTTTTCTGTCTTTCTTTGGTACTTTATGATACTCACTTGTAAATAAATGTGTGTAAACTTTCAACTTCAGAAACTGAACAGAATTAACTTTGCAATGCAAACACATTATTGTTACCTATAATTCAACTTAGCTAGGTTAGCACTGCTGCTAAAGTTCTAAAGCTAGTTTAGGAGAAGTTATTATATTGTAATATCAAGTATTAAATCACATATTAATCAATACATAATACAAACATGCTCTAGCACTGTGCTGAAATGTGAAATTAGTTCTGATTGCATACATGCATACTCATTGCCAAAATCATAATTTTTAATGATGACTATACCATACACAGAAATAGTTCCTGAAGAGTTCTTACTTGTTTGAAAGGTGTGTGGGGGATCAACTACGAGCAGATTGTTAGATACTGTCCCTCAAACACAGCAACGCAGCGGTTCACAGTCATTTTTTCCGTCAACCCACATATATAGTATTCATTTTTATAGGCCAATCAGAACTAAGATAATGTTACTGAAATGTAAAAAAGGACATGTTATATGAGCCATAAATTTGTTTTCATTTTTGCATATTCCAGTTTCTTTTTTTCATTAGAGAGGGCAAAAAGAATTAAAATGTGGAAATTATCACAGTAAGCCAGAACAACCAGCGTCCATGTAGTTTTTTTCTGAAATAAATTTTCTTTCTGTCACTATGAGAGCTTAGCAGCCCTCTACAAATTACATTGCAAATAGCAGTCACTGGGGTCCAAGCACAAATGATAGGCAAAGTGACTCTGTTTATAATATATGTGACGCATCAAAATAAGATGTCTGGCAAATTTCCTACACATTAACCTTTTACCTTTTGTATGGTAATTGACAGATTTTTAAATTAAAATACCTAGAAAACTACAATTTTTGGATACGATGTATTTGCATAGTTGTCAAACTCAATGAACTAAATCCTTCTATTTAGTATTCTCTATTTCGTATCCTACATTTTAGTCTGAGTGCACCAGAATTTCATAATAAAAACTAAAATTTTCACCCAGGAACGGCGCTGCTAGACCTTGCTATGAGGGGTTGGTTTCTGATCTTGTTACCTTTTTCACTGCTCATGGGTTCTCTTGTCTGTGAATGTCTGCATGGCCAGAACATTTCTTCCAGTGTACTTCAGATCTGACCCTACAGTCTTAAAAATGAAGGTTCCTAAACTGTTCTTGGTTGGATGTACAGTTCTAGGAAAAAAATTCTAATTGGTGCTGATTAGGCCTGGGCGATATGGTGATGTAATTGGATATCATCAATGATGGACAAGTAACCAGATGGCGATGTGTAAATTCCACCATGCTTTGGAATGTCAGTTTGCCTTGAAGTGACTCACTGGAATAAAGAAAAAAAAAGCATTGAAATGACAGAAAGTTAGCGTAGAGCAGCTAAAGTTAACTCTAACCTGAGGAGGAAGTTCCTCTGATCCTCGTCTACGGCCAGTGTGCAGTATTTTCTGTACAGATGAAAAGTCACAGTGGTTAACTTAATTATGAAAATGGCGCTGTAACAACGGAAAACACTTGCAGTCTGAAGTTTTTCCAGCAGGAAGCGCTATTGGCAACAAGTCACCGCGAATCTTCAACAGAAGAAGTTGATGAGCGCTTGTGTTTGCAGTAACATTTAGTATAATGATAAACATGTTGGTTTACTCAGTATAATTTTATTTATGTGAGTTTTATTAAACATTAAAACAGTTCATATTTAAAAAAAAAGCATATACACTAAAATAGAAAGTAAGGCAAAGCTGCCACAGACTGCATGTTTTTTAATTTTTTGGACGGAGTGGCAGATAGCAAGCATATATCGGTCCGCTGGCTTGATAAGGTCAGTACCCCGCTGATTGCTTGGCACTGCTGGTCCACCCCGGACCCTTGGACCACCCAGATTACTGTCCTGCATACAAGCTCTCTTCTTGCTAAATATTTTTATATCGTCCAGGCCTAGGGCAGATCCTTTTTTCCATTTTCATACTAGCCATAAAATGCCTGATTTGGAGTCCCTCAGTTGCAGTCTTTCTGCAGTTTTTCTTTGTAATTTAGATGGAAATGTCTGTGAATTACAAAACCAGAAGTGAACTGGATTTTTGTGTTTATGGGTGAGCAAACAAGTCATATTAAGAGAGCTGCAATTGTGCAGTCCATCATATCTCAACACATCTTCGTAGAGAGGTGTGAATTGTTTTTGTAGCAGCCAGTACTCATTCCTCCCCTTTCACTTGTCATGCTCACTAGCAGCTCAACACAGAGCCACAACATTTAACACTTAACATTTGTCCTTGTTAATCTGCTAACAGAGTTAATATATTCAATCATATTAATTAAAAATATCCAAGTCAATTTCCATTCTGTTGGTGGAATGCCCACTAGAGGGCCATTCCATCTCTCTTTTTCTCTCTCTGCAGGTGTAACTGTGGTGTAAATTAAACTGTGACAGCTTGACTGCTGTATTTATATCTAGACAACCAAAAAAAATCAACGGAAATCATTTTTTGCTTAAACCACAACTGAATATGTAGTATAGATAGAACATGCCAGTTTAGTCATGTTCAGATCGTTCTGTTAATATGAATTATGTAAAGTTTTCAACTTGGAATCACCATGTCTACTGCAGTGAAGAGCATTAGCATTTTTCCTTCTGTAGACCGAGACCTTTCCCTGGTTGAGCTCGGTGCTGTGCTTTTGACACCAAGTGCATTTCCTTACAATAGGCACATCCAGCAAGACATGCATTATAGGGTGCCACCTTAAAAGACTGAGTAAGAATGTATATTCCAGCAGCTGTGACAGCTCATTTGTTAGCC